TGCATACATACATACATACGCGAGGATTCGCTAAATTGAAAGCTGGATCAGAAAAGCTCGCACAACAAGTTCGTACTTACAAAGTGAAATGTAAATTCTTTGGCACTTGAATAGTTGCATTGTAATGACGTGACCAGTCACAGTTCCTATTGTCAACTGATTATAAAGGTTAGTGATAATGGTAGAAATTTATATATATCCTTCGCCCAAAGTCGACTTTGATGACTTCTCAGTCATCTTGTAGGCATTAGATTCTGTTTCTCATTCGGTTTCCACTCGATAGTATTGAACGCTATTTGTCCAGAATCAAATACCTCTTTGTCGAACTAAACGAGATAGAGGTAGATATATTTTACTCTTCTATTTTTGGTGCCCCGGAAATCGACGAACTTCTATGGTCACTTTTACCTTTCTATTAAAAATGAGATGGAAGTTGACCCATATTCGGCTGAAATCTTCCCTTCGACCAAAAATTATTTGTTCTATTTACCTAGTTTTCCTAGTTTGACGGCAAATTCAACTTAATATTACCTTCCTACAGAAATCTTAAGAGTTCGGCCTGCATCCGGTATTCCCTGGGATCTTTCCCACATCTATTCTTTCGACAATCCATCCTGAGCAAAGTTCAAAGACAAAATGGAATAAGAATCATAGTTTTGTGTATCGTGTGTGTATTGAATGGTAAAATTTGCCCAATGGTGGCAACTTGAAAGTTGATCTTCGCTCCTGGTGTAGACAATGGTGTAGACTCAGATAGTACGGTGCGTTCTAGTCATCTAAGCGCAGTGTGGCACCTCGGCAACGATCCAGTTGGTCAATGAACATTGGGCCATGAATGTGGCCTGACTTCGCTAGTATGACAAATGCCCCATAGCTCGAAACGAGACTCAATATGTCAATGTTCAGCATAACTTGGCTTATACTGCTTCTGTGTCCACTGGGAACGTTTGCCTTTTAGATAGATGTAGTCAGCTTCCTTAATCCCGATGACAATCAGTGGGCTCTTAATGTTTTCTTTATGTGCGCATACATATACGTTTGAATATAGCTGTGTTGTACCGTACTACTTGCATACTTCTTTCTGTTTGCACACGATCAGATGTGCAATCGCATACACTAAACCCAGATACAAGTAGGCCTTCGCAGTCAAAAGCCACAGTTTAGTCTGCTAGAATAGTCGTAGATTAAGTACTGTTTAATGGAAGAAAAACAGTAGGAGATTAAATTGGAAATGCGACAATCTTCGTACGTAACACGATTACCGTATCTGTCAACTTAACTAGGATACATCAGCATTCTGCAATCTTTGCAAAGAGAACTGTTATTTCAGATACAAACATTTTAGGAAAATTTAGGTCAGATTCGATTATTAACGTTGGGTTAATTGATTGTTAGGTTCGTTATAGGTTGCTATTTTGGCTCAAGCGTTGTCTATTTGCTAAAAATGTTTCCTATTTTATGTAACCTTGTGCCACTAAGTAAGACTTCAGTGAAGATATACAGTCAAACAAATGAATTCATTAAATGTGCCAGGAATATAGAGACCTGCTTACGAGAACAACTAAGTTCCAGCGTCTGAGACATATCAAGCGGTGGCAGTTTAACGAGCTTGAAGATTTTTTCTCAGAAAAGCAAATGTCGTATCTTGATCGGTATTAACATATTGCTATAGCGGTCGGAATGAGGAGAAAAAGCTATACGAGCGGTAGAGGGCTCGTCTAGAGAATGTACGAGAAGTGAGACGTCTAACTTGTAAGTGATTGCACATGACACTTAAATCGCGACGAATCCCCTCAAGCCGCGATCGGTGTCAGACGCTCTTGTGGGTGATCTTCCGACAAGGCAATCAATGGGGGATGAGTGGCGTCGCGCGGAACACTGGGTGTGTCTCGTTTTTCGCAGGCAAAACGTCGAAATCTGCTGGCAGAGGAACAGGGCACCGAAGAAGGGGCGCCAGCAACGTCGCTTTTTGTATTGGAACGGATGACGTATGCAGGAACGGGTTAAAACGGGAAGAAACGAGAGTGAGCGAAACTGGCTTCGACTATCTCGACAATGAGGGTTCGCCTGAGTTTTTCGGGTATAGTTGAACAATCCGGAGAAAAGGACGGACGACCCAGGTCAGAACGGAATGACTACGGAATATGACGTAGACCGAATAAAGCAGAATGTCTTTGTCTATCCTGCTACCTATTTCGTTCTAATACGCCTCTCCCTTTTTACTCCCCCCTGTCTCTGCATTTAGGCGCGCTGTCTGAAGATCCGAATGTAACAGTGGTGAAGTTGCGCGGGCACCGACTCGACCGACTTGCGCCCATCGCGTCTGAAAAGGTTTGAGCAGATAGAGGGTTAGAAATGGCGCGCGAGCGATAAGGAACGACGAAACGCACGCGGCCGGTTGAAACAACGGATAGGAACCCCACTACGCCGTAATGGCCCTTCGTTGGCTATACGGTTAGAAGTAGCTGGCTGACGTAGAACCATAGCGGCAAAGCGGCCATAACGTAAAGTGAGCGCAGGATGGCCGGGAGACCAGGAGAACAATGCAGGGCATATAGGCGAGAAGCGAAGACGGAACAGAGATAGAACGAGACCAACTGGCGAACCAACGAACACAAACATCCGAGTCGAAATAGGGCCAAGTTGGAAGAAATAAGAAGAAAATGGCGTCTGCCTCGCTCGAGACGAGCAAGCTGCGGCGGCGGCGGCGGCTACAACAACATTCACTTCTACCTGTCCTGCCTGCCTACTTCGAAAGTTGGGGGTTCTGCAAGAGTTGTAGGAGTTGAGTGAGTAGGCGGACAAGTTGAACAAGCGAACGATTGCGGCGACGGCGGCACAAGGGTCGACCGTAAGAATAGTTCACGGTGGTCGTCAGCGGCGACCACACCAGCGGGGGCATCAACGGCGGCGGACGCTTTGTCTATCTACGCACCACTGCCAGCGCACTGCCGTATGTTAATGCAATGGAGCTTTCAAAGCACTACCAGCATTGCCCCTGCCTTCGTTCCTGGCCATTCCATCGCATCAAGCACCGAACCGCAGAACCATGGGGACAAAGAAGAGTAGATAGACGATTCGGACCGAAACGAGTTCAGCGAAAAACGCGCGGCAAAGGTGGGCGCATAGACGGCAACAAAAGCAGCATTTCGGGGGTTATACCGGATGGTAATGGTAGTAGTGGCGCCGGCGATGGTGGATTTACGGGAACCTCAAACTTGGGTAAGTGAGGCCACTAAAAGTAGGGTTTTGTAAAATGAGGTGGGAGGAACCAACACAGCCCTACTGCTGCTACTGCCACCTATTTTGGAGAAACAAGTACAGCTTATCGAAGACTGTGTGCTGGTGCTCCACGCTGGTCCAACTGCTTCTCCTGCTGCTGCAGCAAGCAGACGGAGTTGAGGCATTTCGCAGACAAATAGGCCTAATGGGGGATCTGTGACGAGAATGGAAACGGCTGTAGCTGAAAAGGCAAAGGCCGCACGGGTAAAAAGGAGAGGAAGAGGCGTGTCTGTGGGGCAAACCCTAGGGAAGTGAAGCAAGTACGCCTGAAGAAGACTTCCGAATAGAACTTCGAGGCCTTACAGACAATAAAAAAAGACAATCATGGCGTTTCTCGAACGACTACTCGTATCAGCTTTGTCTTGCGACTAATCTGCTGTCTGATATAGTAGTATAGCCTGTTCAGCCCGTGCTTGTTTGGCCTACGCCAAATAACTGACCTGGGGTCAAGGCTTGCTCCTAAGTCGATCGCTAGCAGATTGATAAAGTTCGCAAATGTCCAAAACTTCCTTTGTTCTTGTCGCGCTTTTCTGCGCCGACCCCGGCATGCATTTACTTGCTTGCCTGCCTGCTGGCCAAAGTGTATCAATGCAGTTGTTACTATGCGTCCTTTTTAGATGCAAGTGCCAATTACACAGATGTCGCTGCGTTCGATTGGTGTTGCGGCTGTTTCTGCTAATGTAATCAGAAACATCAGATCGTAAGCTAGCAATGCATACTAAGTTAACTGAAATCGACGACGAGCCAATGGGTTTTATAACGATCGAACAACGGGTGACCAGGAGATCACTGGCACGGCCGATGCTTTTTTTTTGCAAGTGGCCATATCTACCCACGGCTGTCGCATTGATTGTGACAATTTCTAGAATTTCGCCACCATTGCACCCCCCATGATGCTCCTGTCCCTCTTTGTAAAGCACCTCCTCTTCTTAGAAAGAGATAAAATTACGGGTTGGTGCAGACCGAGTTTGGTACGAAATAGCAGGGAATCTAAAACACAGCAACAACCATAGCGAGAAGACAGGTCCGAAGCAGTAGTCCGATGAAGACCCGGCAGCCGCTAGCGCGCGTGCCTCTTTCTCAATAGTCCGACAATAGTCTTTCGATAGTGTAGTCCTTCTGGTGCTGATTCCACCGCAATCGCGGGTTACTGCAGTTTTCGTCGTCATCGATAGGGTAAAAATGAAACTAGAGGCCACTGCTGAGTAAAATGGAAGGAAAATAGCGACGCGACAAGAAAATAACGTAAGTGAGGGTTCATGTTCGGTAGAAGGTTCAGAGAGTAGGTTGACCAGGGCTTACAAGAACGTCCTTTTCCTGTCGACGAACCGAAGCTTCCAATCTGGGTCTATTCCCTTCCATTCAAAGACAGAGAATGAAACTACCATTGCCGACGGTAAGTAAGGCCACCATTGTCAAGCAGCTGGTGAGGCGGCAAAGCAGGCCACTGAAGGGGAAGAAGCAATGTTGAGTATTTCAGCGTCACCTAGATGAACCAGAATGGAAAATATACATCAATGATATTGACAATTTTAATTCGTTTCAGAAAAAAGTAACTGTAATCTAGATTTAAGAGTTCCGAGACGAGCGATCAACACCTATTTAGGTGCAGAGCACAAGTGCGTTCATAATACAATGGCAGAGAGGCAAATAAATAAAGTTCATAGACTTTTCAGTCTCGCTAGCCAAATGGATTGATCTAACTATAGGCGCAGCGATTCATTTACTAATAATATGTAACGCACGAAACCGTTGGATTGCGTTTTTTCTCTCTTGTCTCTTCACTGCCACAATTTCTTCAGACTGAGGGTCAGAGGATTTACTGGGGTTTCGGCACGCTCGATGTATGTACAGTAGCGTTGTCCTTATCTGTAATGCATGTGTCCCTACGCCTGATTCACCAGCTAAAGCAATTTCGTAGCCCTGAGATACTGCCAGTGATAGTGGCTAAACGATACATGAAAGAGGCGTTATTAGCCAACGTAGGCGGGAACTTAGTACACAGTAACAGAAGTATTTACTAACATGTATGTGGCACATTTTCCTTACAAAATTCAAGTCTTACCGATCAGAGCTAGGTAGGACCGGATAGCATCATAGTTACAGCGGTTAAGCTAGCGTATACCGCATCACAAAAGAACGAACAAAAAACAAAAACGGACTTCAGATACGACGCTTTTTTACTCCCTTAAGATATCTATGTAGCGTATGAGTCTAATCAATTATTCAAAAATTTTTGGCTACTTGTCTTGCGAAAATTACCTGTTTATCACCTAATCAGCAACCGCACGGCAGCTGGGTTTGACTCGTAGTAACATGGCCAGTTATTTAAGATCATCCTATGCTCGGTTTTGCTCGTAATGTCATGTACGAAGTCAGACAAATCTGTTCTAACACGTTGCAGATGCCCAACTACAGTCGTATAGCCTACGGCGATAGTTTGTTTTTATCTGGCTTTGCCTCACCTTAGCGTGCCTTCAACAACAATGGTGTTAATAACAGACAAAATTATAGACAGCTAACCAGATACACACTATACATTGTGCAGAAACATAAAGCTGCCTATGTACCTACGAGCTAAGCTCATATACTATTACGCTCTCCGGCTGTTCGGTCCATGTCGGAAACAAATGCTGCTCTTGTCTAAAATCTCATTTACTTCGACGATACTTCGTATTTATTTGAATATCCGCACCATAAACATTACTCCTGACTGTGTATTTTACGTCAAGTTGTGCTCTCCAAAGGGTAGTTATTAACGGTGTCTCTATTTGCCTTAACTACTTTGGTAAAACCTGCTTTCGTAAAGTATCAGAAGGGATGTTTGCAAATGTTTTGCTTTCTACAATAATATACTCGTTCACGTCGACATTGTCCATCCATGTGATACGGATGACGTTCAACAGGGTCGAACGCGCTGAAATTTATGCGACGATGGGAAGCTTCCAACATGAACTGTTGTTAGCGCGTGTCGCACGATAACAAAAAAAGAAAAAAGCGATGCATTTAAGGCTAAAGCGAACGTATTAAGCGATCGGGGGTCATACGTAGACTTCACTCCAGTGATGTCCATATACGAATCAACTGTCTGTTACTTATAAACTGATGTCTATCTGTGATGTGCATTTTTGCTTTTTCGCCCTTGGCTAGCTTGTTTTTATCATTTCTCAGGAACGCATGTGGAACAGCGCTAGGAGCTGGAACGGGAGAAGCTTTCTAGTGAAATTTGCTTCGCTTAATTTCTTCTCCAGGCCAAACAGTGTCCCTTCATTCGCAGAAAAGGTCTGTGTAAAGACGCGTCAATGCTGCCACAATATCGACGTTAAACAACATTATGATGATAGCCAGGAACAATGTCGTGAGCATTTCGATGTCATCTATCGTTTTTTGTTGAAATTATCCTCCGCTGTGCAGTGTTTCTGTAGCAATAGTCAAATAGTGGTCCAGATGTGCATATTTCTTCAGGTAGGTGCCTAACTAATACCTTAATGCAGTGATTACAATTCTTGTTACTTTTACCGCACGAGGGCAAGTGTATAGTCGTATACGCTGTCAACGGGGCTTCAAATGTAGGGGCCGACAACGAGCCCTTTCTGAGAATTTTTTTGCAGAATTTATTCGCCTGCCCAAATGATTCTTTTCTTAGATGAAAGTCTACGCGGACGGTTTTCGGTGAACATCGACAGCCACCACTGAATAGCATGATCACGGGGCCTATCAATATCGTCGCAAGGGCCGCGTCAGCACATTATGGATACTTGTAACATGGTCTTGTGCAAACGTACACTATGGGTGCAAATCAGACAAAAGCTTACGGCAAGCAACAAATCATTCGGAGTTGGCCCACCAGGCTAATTCTAAACTATATTTTTATGAATTACCTGATGCTCTGCCACTGTGAAGCTAGATGCTTCCGTTCCCATTCAATAAATGCTGTCAACAATATCTCCCTTTTTTGTTACATGATGAATTTTAAAAACTTCTTCGCTGATGTTTTGCTAACAGATGTTATTGATCTGCATATGTTAACAGTCAAAGTTATTGCTAGGACGTTGCTTTTCTGTAAGGCAGTAATAAAACATAGCCAGCCCGGCATTGAGATGACGTTCGTCTCAGAAGATTTGCTGTCTTCTGCTGACTCCTGCTTTCCACGATATTCTCAAAGGAGGCAAAGTAGTATTTCTGCTACGTAAACGCAAACCTGCATACAGCTGAAAATAGAACTCACGCTAACATTCTTGAACGGAAAATCGTTGGAGGGTTCGATGTTGAAGAGACTGACAGTGTTATGCTATAGAACAGCCCAAATAGATTATCCTACCTGGCCCATGTACAGGCCAGGTCCGTTAGATATGAAAGCTTGCTTGTCCCTAGTTCGCTTCCGATTGATCAAGCACCACATGAGGAAAAGCGAAAACCCAGAACAAGAAGTGGTTAAACTGCGGTGAGTTTGGAACTTTTTCTATGGCATCCAAAGGATATGGCCCAGATGTATTTACCAGGCAAAAAATATTTTGCATCATTATGCCTGCGGAGCTTTCTTCACATGCAGATTTTGTAATGGATCTGCGCGTGCTGCAAACAAGAAGGGGGATTCTGCGAAGGCAAAGTGCTCTTTCTTCAAGCTATCATGTCTCAGCTATATTACAAAGCCTTGAAAATGTTTAGAAATTAATTTGTCATGAAGTAGTTTATGCTCTAGACTAGTTCTCTTGTAAAATTGTTAGCGTTGCGTTTAGTGAGAGTTAATACTCAAGCAGAACCATTATCCTACTAAAGAGATGTTTTCTGGAAAAATTGTGCAGTGTAAAATCAAAGCGACCGCACTTTATTATAGCTTTCTTAACTGAGACTACTGACATTTTCTAATCATTCAGACTGCTCTATAATATGACTGACAGAATGCCGTGTACGTCTGTCTACTAGAAGAACAGCTGTCCACCATCACTATCAGGTGCTGCTACTAGCATAGCGGGAGAGCATTGTCGCATTGGAAATCTGAGTTCACACGGCAGCACAGAGAGCGAAGCCTCTCGGGATCTTTATTTTTTACGAAGATTCGTACAGCCATGGTAAAGGGGTATAGTCATTAATTAGCGGCCATGTGGCTTAAAGCGGCCCGTTCGGTGGCATTAGAATGCGCACAGACGTCCGTACATCAGCTTTCGAATCAGCTGTGAAGGTGGCCGAAACGTAGCGCTATTTCAGTCCACTCTATCTGTGTATTTTTTTCAGCGCAAACAAGCTTGCATATGGAAAACACGGTTTCCCGTTAACTATGAGCTGAGTCCTTGCGCAGTTTCGCTGAAATGGCGCCCATCCTGTTAGTGATCATGCGCGCCAAGCAACAAAGCATATATATATATATATATATGGCATGAATAACACGTAAGGAAGAGTGATGAACTAGCAAAGCTCGCACTTCGCCTTTGTTATCATCATCGTCGCCGACGTCGCTCACTGCTTCAATCGTAGCTACCTCCCTGCTTGCAAACATGTCTAGTACATGCGTATAGTATATCGAATATGACAATAGGCGCTAACGCATACAGCAGTATGCACTATAGTTGCGATGCTACCTTATATCCGTACCAGAAACAATAATTGTAAGTTGTGCTGGTGTAAGTGAAAGGAGCAAATCTTCACGTAAATTTCGACTGTCACTTGGCCATCCACAGTGACAGACAGCAGTGGAAAACGGCTAGGCAAGCAGGTAGGCAAACATGCCAAAAGAGGCTCCATATGGTTATAATGGCGGCAGTGACAGCGGTGGATGAAACAGCCACGGCACAGACTTTCCTAGCAATATCGGTAGCTTTCTTTCCGCACTTTCAACAGGACTCTAGGGGGGTCCGACGAGGCGGCAGTCTGCTGCTAGCCTGCTGCGTTTTGAAATGTGTGCGAGATGCATAGGCGCTCTGAACGATCAGCATTCCGACAGGAAGTGACGGCGGAAGCTGACACATACCCTTATCCATCGGTCCTTCTCCGGCCCCAAAAGATGAAGAAGCAACGAATGAGTGAACATAAACGACGCAGACAGTGGAAAGGGTGCAAGCAAACATAGTAGCCACCGGCCAGCACAAGTCCATGATGGCGTGAAGGACCACGGCGTGCAACTTAGCTGGTGAGGAGTCGACAAGCAGGCTTATGGCGGGAATGCTAGACGGCGAAACAAAGTCTTCTTAAAGCATCGCATCGAAAGTCATCTCTCAAGGCGACGCCTTCTCCGAAGTACCTACTCGCCCGGCAAGCGCGCTCGAAAGGGCAGGAAAGCAGCAGACATGCATGATGCCAGCTACTGCCTTACCACTCTACCACTCTTAGCCCCCAGCTCTTTACGAAAAGGGGAGCAGCACTCTAGGAGGACGCAAGGAGGAACTGGAAAGGGGACTGAACTGGTAGTTCCTCCCCCATGCACATCGTGCCGACATAGATTTCAGGGGGCAGTGCGAACGAACAGGATACTGAGGATAGAAACGTACAAGGAAAAGGTTGTGCTGAATGGATAGCTGCCAGCCTGCCTGTGTGGGTGTGTTACTGGCAAAATGTAAGATGGCAGACGGACCACCCAGGAGGACAAAGGCGCCAAAGAGTAAGGCATTGGCATACACGGAGCGGTAAAGGGGCTAGAAGGGGTGCTGTTGCCTCCAAACGAAGCGCATTTCATCACTTCGCCTCCGCACCATTGCTGCACTGACAGTGGTAGCACTTCACAAATCGATCACGTCGGTCCTCTTCGCGCTAAGGGCCAATTCGAGTCGAGTCGAATGCCAGCCGAACGAACGAGGCCGATGGACGCTTCGGCACAGAACAAGAGAGAGAAGACAAGCGAAAGAAAGGAGTGTGGGAGCAGTCGTCCCACGCAGCTCGTCGGGTGTTTCTACTGCCATGCCTGCTTCGCAGTCGGAGTCTGCCACGTTCTTTAGTGAAAGGATAGTGGGCAGCTTTGTAGCGCGAGGAAACCTGTTGTTGAAGAGGGCGCAAAAGCAGCTAAGACGAAGTAGCGGTGGCGGGCTGACGGGTGTTCGGCTCACTTGCAAAATTAAGGCGTAACGCATAGTGTACGGCCGCATATACCGACTGGTTGTAGCCCGTTAGGCCGGCAGTGACAACGCATGCTAGTGGTTGTAGTCCATCGATAAGCCGATAGGATCCGTCACAGCAGGACCTCATCGATGTCTATAGCATAGGCGGGACCTGGTTCCAGCAGCAACATTAGCAGCAGGCTTGCGTTTCCTGCAATCCAAAAAAAGCGGACGGGCTTTTAAAACGGTGTCGGAAGGAAAAAGGAATATGTTACGTATTTTCTACGGCTTTTTTGGATATTTTTTTAGGAGAGACCACTAAGGGAGATGGTAGTATTACGCCGGTTGGTTACATTATCTAAGGTTATTTCGATAACGGCTGGAAGGATCCAGTTTGTTAGGTATATAGATTTCTCAAAAACTCAGACGTGAGCGAGCCAATGCTCTGAAATATTCTAATCTTAGAGCGATACATTTTTGCTCATCGAGTCTCGTGCTATTCGAGGTTACCTATACTACAGAACCGATACACCGTTATCTCATAAAATTTTTTTAGCGCCTAGTTTGACATCTTTTTAATCGTTCCATTTACGTTTAACTGTCATTATAGGCTCTAATAATTTATCTCTATTGGTATCACGTACGTTTGTTTTGCAGATATTGACTCGGCGTTCGACGATTTCCCCGACAACAAACGGCTTTCAGGTAAGATCATTGCCTATCCGAGTTATTGTTTTTTTTTCTAATAAAGGGTGTACTTCGAACGACCCTTATTCGCTGCACTAACAAAAAATATTTCTCTGATAACTGTTGATAAGTCATCTTGCTTTTTCTCGTAGGAACGATTTGGATCGTTGTCTGTGTCTCTCAAAAAGAAATGCCGGTTTCGTAACCTTTACGCCGTGTAATCGCGTCTGTCGTCTATAGGAATGATTACACCATGACTGAAGTAGATGTAAAATTGCGAAAGTAAATCGAGTGACCTAATATGTGGCTGTCGCCACCGCGGGTACGTAAGACGTTACACGTAAAAATTCTGCTTTCCATTGGCACAATGGCTTTGTCAAAGGATTGAGTTCCTATTACTAGCTCACTTCGACGTTATGGTTTTATCCGCAGGATGCAGCCAATAGCAAACGATGCCAGCCATATCACAGGCGAGAGGCTTTCAGCAAGTCGTCGGTAGTGGCTTTTTGTTGGCAACATGCTTACAGATCGATATCTGTCCACAGAAGGACATTATATGGGACCGACCATACTGCGAATGCATACTGTCACTATTCTAGAACGCTTTCTAAAGTATGATATTTTATGAGGTTGCTTCGGAAAGAAAAAAAAACATCTAAATGAAGCAACACAATGGCACAGCACATACGAGTTTTGTTCTTACGGCCTTTTGGGTTTATAGAGTAGTTGCTTTCAACCGCACGTATCTATACAAGACACGAAATCGATCCGCTGTCGTAAGGGCAATCGTTAGAGCTCTATTTCGTTCGCGCGCCGCCGTGGGACAGAAGCTCTAATCGGATCAAGAGATTTGTAACTAGCGTTGTTTCTCGAAGTTGTGTGAGGCAATCTTTTGTGATCTTCTGTTCTACTAACAACATCCACAATAGCAAATACGGCTCACAGACAACCTTCACTCAGCACCATCTGTTGATGCCAACGCCAGCTGAACAATTTGTCAAACAAGTTATTTTTTTCGCTGTGAACTTTATCGACGACGGCGTCGTACTTCGCTCCGATGATCAACTATTACATTGTCCCAAGGTAATAAGTCGTGACGAGAAGGCATCAAATGTAATTTTGGGCGTAATCAGTAAACGTGATTGATACGATGACAAATTGTTTGCGTCCTAGGTTTCCTATTCAACCCGAAAAAACTAATCGGCCTATGTTTTTCTATGTCCTTCGGCTGAGATTTGGAGATGCACTGGGCTTAGATATTTATATTACGCCTTTTTTCGTCTACTCAGATAAAAAACGAACCGTATAATTTAATTATATAGTTTCCATTCGTCGCAGATTCGAACGGAAACTATTTTTTAGGGCATTATGCTACTATTTGCCCGTACCAGTTCGCCAGCTAGGCTTAAAGGTTCGCTAGATGCATATTCCGTACAATCCTTAGACATCCTGACAGTTTAAATGGGTGGTTGCGGAAATTCGAATTTGTTCGACGTTCTCCAAGCAGAGCCATTCTTCATTGAGCTTTTATGCGACAAAGTCTTGAGCTGCTTGAATAATCTTCCACCGCCAGCGCCGGCTTGAGGCAACTCGACTTGAGAACACACACTCAAGTCACCAGGCTCTAGGAGATCAGGTAACTGCAGTCCATGTACGACTCGAAACACAGTCGGCCATAGCTGGCCTATGATTGTGTCTCCTTTCAAATTCACCGTCTAAGCCTTTAACCTATCAACGTTGCAAATCCACTAGGATATGATGAGGGTATTGTTCTTGCAGCGTATCAGATCATTGCCTCGTAAGATGAAGCGACATGATGCAAAAAGCGCCGTTCGAACCCTTCAGACGACATAAGCTAGAAGTCTAATAAATGCGAAGTGGCGCTGCTATAACGTGGCAGCTTGTGGCAGGTCCATCCTCTCCCCTTCGGTCCGTATCAAGCGGCTGGTGTCCCCCAAACAGTTAACATGGCCAACACCCAACAGAAATCATCTCATTTCCTACTATCACTGAAAACATGTATATGACTGCTTTTTTATTATTAATTAAGTGTTGCGTACGGAAGCCGACATAATACAACGGTCGTGCAAAACCAATTAATAACGCTACTATTAGACAGCAAATCTATCAATCAATTGTAACCGTTATTGCAAGTGGCAATCAATATTTAGTGTGGATCTCATCCTTCTCCATTGTCATCGCTCCAATCTACTCACGTTTTAATTCGCCTCTCATCTCGGATCGAAACTGCTTGTTTCTGACGGTATGGGGGGTGCTGTGGGCTTGTGCATGTCGGCGGTAAACTTCAATAGAAATCTTTCTTCTTGGTCATCATGTGTAATGCGTTCGTACTCGGTACATTCGTTCTTTTTTGTTTCTGCCTATGCGTGCCTGTTTGTTCACAAGTGCGTGCGAGCATGCTGTGTGCTTAGTATAAAAAAATGGACAAAACATTCCTGGCAGGAAAAAAGAGCGCGGTAATTAAATCCCAAGTCATAAAAATCCGGCCTCGCTATTATGAACGGCGGTAACTTTATGCAACGGAAGGAGGGGGACGCAGATGTTTATCTCAATTCGATTGAATTCTGCGATTAGTTATATGAATAAGACCCACATTTATTTATTATAATGTTTTAGATGTGCCGTGCAACTCTAGTCTTCTTATGGACAAAAAAAAATACAATTTATTCCTTTTCTCCAATTATCGTACGCCCTATAATTTTTCTCGCGCACACACGAACGTGCGAAGAAATGTGTTTCCACTCGAAGTGACTGCTCTAAGGATCAGAAGACTCAAATCTACAACTTTACAGTATCCGTTACTGATCCTACCACCAACCGGACTAAAGTGTAAAACACTATATCGCTTCATAGGTAAGAGGACATACGATCCCTATACGAAATGCAACAACATATATATGGATTATATATGGATAAATACCGATATGGATCTGATATTATAATAGGTCAGGCTATACATACATCCATGGGTAAGCCTTGTAGAACAATGGCCGTGTGTGCAGTCGTAAGAATTTACTCGCAATAGCAGCGGCAGAGGCACGCTTGCGAGCAACGTCCGCTGTTCGGACAGTTTTAGCGACGCTAGAAGCAGGAGCAGCAAAGAAGAAACCGAAACTGACTACCCGACGTTTATTTGAAGCGTCAAAGGCCGAGCGTATGCATGGTCGTGATCCGCATCTGATTGGAACCTTAATGCACAATCTCTTCTTCAGTGACTTCTAGACCGTTTTTCCTATCCTTAATCGATGTGCGCCCGTTGGTGCGCAGGCCGCTATAGTTCGACACTCCACGACTACTCTAGGGGAGTGCTTGTCTAATGGTAAATGAATGGCTTCGAGCAAACAACGCGAAGGAATTCCATGCGGAATACGATAGTCACTACATTTTTATAGAAGAAAACCAGCTCATATAACATGCAAGAACGTGCTTTTCTGTTCCTTATAAACAAAGGTATTTACTTGTTGTTTACTGTATTAAAGAACTTACTTATTGCGGTTATACGAATAAGCGCTGTCACGACAATATCTTTAATTATCCATTAAATGCCACCAGCTTTTTACGCTGTCTAAGTAACTGGCCTATACATTGTCGCATTCTTGTTCCTCTCACCTAACATAGACAAACAGGGTATCCAGAAGTCATTCGTCCCTGAGAGTCCCATGTTTGCTGATTTCACAGGTAATCCTCTATGTTATTCAAGGAAGGCTCTTCTAGACGTTGCTTCCTATTTTGCTTATCGTTTTAAAATGCCAAGAAATATCGTGAAGGCTCAGCGTTAAAGCCGTAACACCTCGGCTGCGCCTGCGTGTCGCTGCAGGGTCCATTGGACATTATGTAACTAACAAGGCTACATTGAAATGCTCATCTAGCGTAATTGGTCGATTGGACATCACCTCGCAAATACGTTACGTAATTAGCGTGATGAAGACTAAAAAACGTTCGTTTTAATTATAAGGGTGTGTTAGTAGAAAGGAGTTAGCTTTCTTGTAAATAGGTATATTCGTCAGCATATCTTCCTTCGATTCGAATCTACCATTTTCATTATACCTCGACTTCTGCTTGTTCTGTAAGAGGCCGAAATATCATCATTTACTGTTCTAGTAGGTACATATGCATATGCGTTACGCCGGTAGTAGCTGTTTCAGTAACAAGAAAAAGAAACCATTATTAATACTACGATTCACTGTTGGCAACGCGCGTTAGATGTACGTAAGGAGCCTGAGACGATAACGAAGTCCTCCCTGCCTTTGCCGGAATCGAAGCATGTGGAGAGAAAGAGGAGGGCAGCACGGCCGGAGAAAGTGGCAGGACGCGCCTTCGCCACCACTGCTGTCGCTGCTGCACTGATAGAGGTTGCACAAACATCATTGGTTCGTTCATCTAGCAGGAGTGCACTTCTATCAGCTAGCTGCTGCCACTGCTGCTGCAGGCAGGGGCATGCCAACCCACTTGCCCGTAGAAGGTTAGCGCAGAACAAGGCCGCATCAGACGCCGCTGCCGCCACATTAGTGGACCAGAAGCAGGAGTAAGGAAAGACTAAGGAGAAGTTCGGTATGGTTGGACCTGCAATGGATAGTGTGAAGGAGCCGGTGGAACGCAGCGGAGGTGGTAGGCTCATTGCATCGCATTGCAACTGGGAGAAAGTACGGGCTTGAGCAAGGGCCACGCGAACGGAGCTTAACGAGCCACGGAATGGACCCCTCAGACGATGCTTCTTACACCCTGCCTGCCACTTTGCCTCCGACGCATGATGATTGTGGTGTAGCTATGCTGCCTAGTATCCGTGCTCTCAGTATTGCTGACTCGCTGACCACATCCCAATGGCACATCGCAAGACTGCTTTTCCTCAGCCCCTATTCGTCCACAGGCCGACGTGCAGAAAGAAAAAGCCGGATCGAAAGGAGTGGTCGGCAGATGCAGAAGCATCCGCGGAAATGCAGTAGGTATACAATTGGCATGAAGACCATCACAAACTGAGGACACTCCCCCGTTTTACC